AATAAATGAGCAAATTTTTATCCTCTTAGGCTTGTTACTCTGAGTTTTATCTATCTTAAATGAAAATCCAACTCAATTCATGAGCTTGTACAACATATAGAAAAGCACAAACAAATAATTGTTTTATGCTCCTTATGAAGATCATGAGTACTTCCTGAAAGTGAGCTCAGGTGCAGCACTGTAAACTCTCAGAGCTCCATCCTTCTCAAGCTCATGGCAGATTTGCCCAAAAGACCTTCAGTCCTTAAGAGAAAGTCAAGCTTTGTGTCGCCCAGTGACCCAACACTCTCTGAGAGTTATTTCTGGAGTGAAAAAATGCTGAGTTGGATACTGGTTCTCTTACTGCTGATGTAAACCTAGATTAAATTCAGTGTCAACCATCATAATAATATTTTATTTCATGTTTTTTCCTCTTATTACCAAACCAAGCCAGCAGGGTCATTGAGAAGGTCTAATTGCTTCTTTTGTGTGCTGTACACACTTGCTTTGTTTTTTTTTCCCCTCTTGTCTTCAGTGTGCAGGCCTACTTCCACATTTATGATGGGAAAACATACAGTCTGAATTGGCGAGCTACAAACAGTTCTTGGAAAATGAAGAGTAGCCTGCATCATGTCTTATAAAGAAGTTCAAACACCAACTGCCCCCCTGATATTGTACCAGAAAAAAACAAAACTCCTAAATTCCCCAAAGTAACCCCAGTATCCTCTTCAAAGTGGCAATTACACAGTCAGGAGAAAGTTAATAGAGATTCCTGCAAGCTTAATGGACAAAAAGACTATAAAACAGAAGTGCTGCTGCTAGGTTTCACCTTCTACACATTATTGTCCAACCTTGTGACACTATTGATTTGCTTCCACTGTATCAAATTTTAATCACCATATGCCAGAACCTAACACAGTCCTTCCACTAGCCAAGTCTTCTTAGATGAAAACTTTGATTATCTTGGCTGTCTACAGAAATTTTTAAGTTTATATAGGATGAAACTGATCGATACATGTAGGCTCCACAAAATGTTTCATACCAATTAATTCAAGCCAGGTTGGTAAGACACTGTCTTTGCTAAATATTTTTAGCTGTTTCAAACTAAGTGCTGCATCAGTTCATGCTGAAGAACAAAAAATTCCTTTGTTCCAGTTTTGCTGGAAATAAGTTTAAAGGAATAATAATGCAACTGGATTTAAGTCTTGTAAATGTTCACTGATCATCAAATCAGGAAGTGCTTCCAGAAAAATATTAAAAACCCACAAACTTCAATCATTAGTAGAATTTTCTTGGAGTTTTCTCCAACCCCATGAGGATGGAAAGCCTGATCCAATCCACTAATTTAACTAGAAGGCCCTATAACCTGAATCTTCACAATTCTTAATTAAACTTCTAACATGCTGCTTCCTATGAAGAGCAACTAAACAGCTTGCAATGATGGCTCTTAGGAGTTCATTGGATGCAAAATTCCATCTCACAGGAAAACTGCTTGGTTTTAATAATTTAATATTGCAAGAAACTGTCCAGAGGACTATCAGTTAAACCAAGAAAGCTTTACTAAACAGAATAATAAAAATTAATTAATTAGCTGCCATATAATGCTTTGCTAGATGCATTGAATAAATCTCAGCTGATTTATCAGTCAAGTGCCTTTGTGGTAGGTATTATCTGTCATTAACCTTATGCTACAAAGTGAAAGTACATGGATACAGAAGTTAAATACTTCCCAAGGTCACATCTGAAGCTGGGAAGACAACTCAGGCATTTACTGCCTTTCAATCATTAGAGGTAATTTCTAAAAAAAACATTAAATGGATTCATGAGGTAAAGATCATAACCTGAAAAGGCACCACTGATTCTCTAAATACAGTTTCAGAAAGCAGGGAAGTTGAGAGATGACTCTTGAAATATGATTTGAAGAAAAGGATTCTGCCATCCAAGCTTGGAATGGTACCATCTAAATTCTATATTGTGGTTTTTTGTTTTTTTTTTTTTAACCCAAGTATCTGTAAGAAAATTGGAGTAATTTTGGATGATTCACATAATTGTTAAGTTGGGTCTCATTCCTAAGGTGCTCTGCCTCCTTGGAGTCTGGAGGGAGTCTGAGACAACAAGGCTTCCAAACATATTCAGATAAAGTGCCACAAGTTTCATGGGCTGACACAATGAGTTTCCAGCAAAACCCATTGACAAAACCAGTTGCCAGGAAATGTCTGGAAAAAGTGAGAATTCATCTTTGTGGTTATTATTCTCAAATGAGGCATATCAGAGTGGGTCAAGTGAAAAGCAAAATACAAAACATTGTGATAAGAGGTGGAGAAACGAAAACACGTAAGTAACAAAAGCAGCTCTTGTGCAATGTGGATGATAAAAGAAAGTTCACTTCCATAAGCCTCACTAACAGCATGTATTTTTGAAAATGTATGACTACGCAAAGAAAATTTTGCCCTTTGTGTTCATCAAATACCAAGAAATGCACTTTTTCCCTTGAAATGTTAAAAGGCAGCTTTTACATTAAAAAGTATTAAAACACAGGGTATTTTTCCTGGCCTTTTGATAGGCTTTCTGTTGAACTTGGTAAGACATCCAAGAAATTCAGATTCTGATTTTAAAAATTAATGGTGAATTCTATTGAGTTTTTATGGTATTGCATCTTCAGTTCAAAATTCCTCCACCATAAGCACGTGCAACTCCACATCTTTCAGTGGAACCATGCTTGCATATATTACTAAGCAATTCTGGCCCTGTGCCTGGGAAAGGATCTTATATTCCACAGTCACTTGATTATGTCTCATCTTTGAACCACATTTTACTATTTGCAAACTACTTGACCCACAAAACCATTAAAGCCCATCTGCTAAGTACCACTGTGCATTGTTAAGTAACATGCAGAAACCATTTTAAGTTCAAAATCTAGTGTATGAGGATGTAAACTTATTCAAATATATTTATTTTCTTGTGCAGCCTGATAAACCTGAAACCTGGTTTCAAAATTCCACTTGCAGTATAAATCAGTTTCTTCAAGCAATTCTGTTATCCAAATCAGAAAGAATCCTTACAAATAAAAGACTAAGATCTACCTAAAAGAACCCATCCTTGGAGAAGAGCAAGGATAGACCCATAGGCTAGTAGCAGATATCAGAGACTTACAAGAACCAATTAAAGAGCTGCTTCTAATTGCCTGAAAACAATCTCAATGGAATTAAAATATTAGATATTAGGGACAAGTCATCTATTGTTACTATCATAAACTACTTTTTTTTTTTTTTTTGGGGGGGGGGGGGGGGCACCTAAAGATGGATACAAAATGCTCAAAATCAGTGACCAAGTACAAGTCTAATACAATGTCAGGCTTGTAAAACCAAAGCTAGACAACTATGAACACTCTTTTGTTGGGTTTCTTCCAGTTGAATGTGGTTTGTTTTTTTTGGTTGGGAGTGTATGTGGGTTTCTTTTTTAACTAAAACCTTGATGCTTTATGCCCTCCTTTTATGTCACTACTACTTATTATCTTTCTAAAAAGATCTATTTAGCTATAATTTAACTTCTTACTGATGTTATTAGACCTGTAATTGCAGCACTTAGTGGCAAATCTGTGGAGGAGGGGAGTGCTATAATACTAACCACATATGTTCATTGCATATTATGTATAAGATTACAACTCTGACTGCCACTACAATATAGGTATGAATATTGTGGAGGGGTTTAAGTACAAATACCTGACTCACAGACCTTTATTCCCACTAAAAATACCCCCTCACACACATATATTTTGTAAGGGAAGTACCTAGCTTTAGTTCACAGTAATGGAGAAACCCTTACTCCTTGCTTCTCCTCAGGTACTGCAGAAACAGGATAATGTTTCTTTTCAGAACAAAAGGTGTTCAAAGGTATAGTTCAATACTTGTCAAATCAGTAGTTCCCTAATAGCATTTTCCTCTGCTAAAGAACCCATGGATGGCTAGAAAGAAATGATGTTGCAAAGGGGCTACATATTGTTCAAAATAATGCTAGTACAGAGAAGTGTCACATAATAATATTAAGTAAACCACTCAGTTGTCTTCAATAAATACAAGTATTTTTTTCATAGCTCTTGACCTGTTAAAGGACAAACTGAGATGACCATTACCTTAATTTTATTACAAGTCCATTTAATGAGAATGCAGGTTTCAATAGTTTATGCTTTATACTCCTCATGGTAGAACAAAACTATTTTAAAATCATCCTTGAAGATCTGAAATTATCATTGATGACTTTACACTGTACATCTCTTCAGAAAGAGACAATAATAATTAATGGAATAATAGAGTCATAGAATGCTTTGGGTTGGAAGGGACCTTAAAGACCATCCAGTCCCAACCCCCCTGCATGGGCAGGGAAACCTCCCACCAGCCCAGGTTGCTCCAAGCCCCATCCAACCTGCCCTTCAACACTTCCAGGGATGGGGCAGCCACAGCTTCCCTGGGCAACCTGGGCCAGGGTCTCATCACGCTTACAATAAAGGATTTCTTCCTAATGTCTAACCTCAATCTCCCCTCTTCCAGTTTTGATCCATTACCCCTCATTCTATGGCTATGGCCATAATATGGCCTTAAAGTTATGGATTCTCTCTATGTCCTTTTCCCTATTTAATTTCAGACTGACAAGCTCTTAAGTCCAGAGCAGCCAGTACCAGATACCCTGCTGTGATGCACCTATTCAACTTTTTACTTAACAGAGATTAAGATCAAGATGTATCACACTGTTAGTAAAGCTGAACTGAAATTCACTTCTTCATGCTCATGACTTTTGACAAAATACTGGAAATACAATTTTTAACCTGCTCAATTGCTTTAATGAGATACTACAATACAGCACAGGCTCCATTTTGCCAGTCACGCAGACATCTGCTGTGCAATCACCAGGATAGAGTTAACACAAACTCTTGAAATCAGTATTACAGAAATGCCACCTCTAACATTTCAGCCAATATATAAATTTTCCTTGCCTGTACTGGAGAGGCAAGGTGGAAATCTAACTGTGTTAATCAGGTCACTTACCTCAACTAACTTGTTTGCGTGTTCACGGAAGACCTGAGCGTACTCCTTCACTTCCTTCTCATTGCCACTTTTTGCTGCCTCGATGAGAACCAGTAATGGCACGTTGGTCTCCAGGAATGAATCTGATATATGATCCATTACTGCCTTCCTTAGCTGTGACAAAAGAAAGAAGACCAGTAAATAAAAGAATTATCATCAACATACATTCTCACTGCATTCATTGGTTACTTATACTTAAGCATTGCTGTGTTGCACCTCACAGCACTCGATGGGAGTGTGGGTTTTATTCTTTCCTTCCTCCAAGTTATACATGTGCAACAAGCCTACAGATATCAAACACTTAAGGGTCTAGGCTCTGCAAAACCCTCCTGAGATGCTTTCTGACATACATCTAATCCTACTGGACTGAAAGGATCTATGTAAGAAGACAGTGATTACCTACATAACACATTGCAAATTGATGAGAACTGAAAGCTGCACACATTTCTGTACAAAACAGTCCAGCTCCCTTAAAAGCCAAATATGGATTAAGGATCTTAACTTCTAGCAAACATTAAGAATACTAGCCTGAATAATTCTAAGCCTCTTCTAATTTCTGTGCTTCTAAGCCTCTTCTAATTCCTGTACTGAATGGTATTCTATGCAATAATGAGGATTCCATTTAGCACATGCCTTGTGCTTCATATTGTCTTTCAAATACCTCCAGCAGGTATAAACAGGAAGCCTTTCTAACAGTTTTCCAGGTGGATTAGAAAACATACAATTTTTTTCAAAGGAGAAAAAAAAAAAGCACCCTACAAGATACTGAAGATCAAACACCTGTTATTTCATTAAAAAAAATATGTTTGAAACAATATTATCATCAGAATCACATCACAAACTTCTTCTAACCTTTATAATAACCACTAATGAATATCAAACTTCCCTAGAATTTGAAAGGCAGTCAGAAAGATGGCTGAAATATTAAGTAATTCTTGGAAGCTGGAATGCTCTACAGGAGTATGGATCAAAAACATTTTTAGCATGTTCTCTCAAGCTTTTTGGTTGTTAAGGATGAAAAAATGTGGACTCAGACACAAGCTGAGAGCTATTCAGCCTGCAGGTCTGGCTAGCCATTAGTATCCTTAAATCATACATTTTTAGTTAGGTGAAATATCAGAAAAGGTAATTTTCTCTTTTCTGCAGTCCAGAACAAGAAAGCTCTAGCTATTCAAGGTGTCATCAAAACACCTAATCTACTGAAAGCTGGCGTAGTGTTAGGCGTTATAAATACACTATCCAAGATGCATTTGCTGTTTGGCAGCAGCAATTATCAGCTCTATTTAAGCAGGGAGAAAGCTAACTTTGAATATTTCAAGTCAATCCCTGAGTGGTGCAGTAAAAGCAAAGCAGCATACAGGCATTTGCATGCAGTATTCCTTTTATTTTTATTACAACTAAAGCAGCCAAAGTATTAACAGCAATTCTTATTTCCTTTAAAAAAAAATATAAAAAAAAAATCATTCTACCCAAATTCTACCTGCAAACTACTTTTCCACTTCCAGAATGATTAAGGCACTCAGAAAAGCTAACACAGTAATACCCACAAATGGGGAAAAAAAAGACAAAAAGATAGAAGAATATACCAAAGAGACCTGTCAACATTTGGGAAGCTGGTGTATGGTAGCTACTACCTATCAACACTGTCACCTTGTACTCTTTCTTTTTTTCTCTCATCAACCTGCTGATATCCACTTGCTGTCTTATTTTATTCTTATATTGGAAGCTCTTTCAGACCATCCTTTAGGTCTGTTTGCACAGCATTTAATACAATACCATCCTGATCCAAGACTAGCTTTCCTAGGTACCATACCAATAAAAAGATAAGCAGTGATGTTGCTCCAAATGTATCAAAGCATTGGAAAAAATGAAAAAATACAGAGATGTGATGTTCCAGAGAATAGTGCATCAGCATGGCACTCTGCTTTATCCAGCTGATACATTTCCAATCACTGTGCATATCCATCCTTCCCTGAAGGGTTTAATCTATAGTCAGCATTAAGGGAGACATATTGCCAGAAAGGGTTCATCTCACGTTTGCTTAATCACCCTTCACAGATGTCCATCTCCCAGCAGTTGCTGAGGAACTGCTCCCATGGTGGGTGCTTCACATTACAACAATAATTAGACTTTTTGGAGTCCATGGTACTGAAACCGGCCAAATGGTAACATTTCCAAAGCAGCACACATAGGTTTTAAAAATCCCACATGGCTTCCATCTCACTTTCAGGGAAAAAAATCTTAAAAAAAAAAATCCCCTTGCTCAAGTTCAAGATGAGAATCTTTAAAAGCTACTGTTCAGTGCAAAGAAATAACTTCAAGTATTAAAAGAACACTGGCAGTTTTCTGTTTATATCACTCCATAAGGATGCTTCAAAGTGGTGTGTTCAATGAACAAGAAATTCAAGTTTTAATCAAAGTTAAGGTAGTGTTATAGATACAATTGTAAAAATATCCCCCATGGAATTGTAAGAAAAATCTCAGGATGTTTAAGTACAAACATATTTTCATTGATATTAAATATCTTCAGTCTACAACCACATACCTGAAATCAATAAAAAGGACAGTAAGGACATCAGCTCACCATCAGTGTGGAGTTTACCATTGTAAATATACAGCAGATTTATATATAATGAAAAGGAGTTAATAAAATGGATATCTTGTTTCTAATGGTAACTGCATGTTGCTTTCTGCAGCCCAGAACTGCAGCAGCTGAAAAAAAATAATCCAAATTCTGACCATCACAGGTTTGATAAAATATAAAACTGACAAATTCTGTTTCCCTAGGATGTGATAATCATGGATGTCAGTAGCACATTTCTGATCCCTCATGTAAACATGCACCCTAATTCCTTCAGAAATTGGTTCTCTGAGGTTTAGGATGCCCTTGCATTGAGGTTGAAAGGTATAGTGAATGGTTTTTATGTACGCAGGAGGCCACAAATTTTGCCATCCATCACCACAAGCTATAAAGAATGACTTGACAAAATCATTTGTTACATGTGACAGGAGTATGAACATAAGGCATTCATCCAGTAGCTCAAATGGATACATGACAAGGTGATATGAATTACACAAGACAAGACATTTAAAAGTATTAGCTCAGCATCACCAGTCTATTTGATACAATCGCGGCTATTCATCAAGGTAAGTAACTACTGGGAAACTAATCTTGTATGTTCCTCCATGTACTGCAAAAAAGTCCAGCCAAAGTGATGGCTTTTGCATCCAGAGATGTTACTGTTTCATACAAACAACACCAGTTCAGAAGGGAACAGGAGAAATCCATGACTTGAATTTAAATGCTCGTAAAACGTGCGGCAAAGATACGTCAAGTTTTGTTCTCAAATCAGCATGAGACCTTAACCTTGTACATATACTGACAAATGTCTTTGCAATGCCTTAATGTACCCAGCATTCTGATGTAAATATTATGAGACAATTACTCAGAAGACAATGCTTCGAGATTTTTTCCCCCCACTGAATTTTTAAGTGAGAGGTGATGTCAAAGTGTGGGTAGTTTCCTCTATGTGGAACTCCATTTGTTAGAGGAGAAAGCACTAAACAAAGGACAAGTTTAATCCATTTTGTCATAGAGGAAGCTCTATTAATTAATATATAGCTAAAAAGAATAATAAGTTTATCAGACCAGCAGAAAGATTTGGAAGAAAAACATCAAGACGTGCAAAGAGTCTGAAAATATGGTTTACCACAAGGCAGATTTTTATGCCTTTCCAGTTCAGTCAATTTAGTCAGTTTATGGTGCAGAGTCAGTTGCTGGTTTTCATAGCATCATGTTCTACTCTTCTAAGCACTATTTAGGGCTGGTTTATCATTGTTGATTCACAGCTGTAATTGAGCTCAAAGAGGTTAAACTGCCCACTGAAATGATGCTTTCCATGCTTCTATAACAATTTTAGAACCAAAATGGCTCAGTGCTACTTACAGTCTAGTAGAGAATTAAATGTCTAATCATGACACTGGAAGGTAAAGTCCCAGCAGGAGAGTAATGACTCTAACAGATTGTTAAACTTTATAAAGACTGGCACTATAAAGCTCTCGGTAACAAAAGTTTACCAGGGAGTACCTTCTTCACCATTTCCTATTTAACGTGCACTGCAAACTGAACCCAGCTCCAGTTTGCAGCTGCAGAGACCTCCCAAACAGGAATCAATTTAATTGGAAGAGATGAAAATAAAGCTCTCCCCATTGCATTTAAAGTTTGTCACATCCAATATATTGTGAAATTGAGTTCTGGAGAATAAGACAGTGACCACTAGAAGCTACTGGAGTGAAGTGTTAAAGAGTCTCAGCCGATTCTGCACATGACAACCTATGAAAAAATGTTAGACTGCGGGATGAGAAACATACTTGAGAGTGGTTTGGGTTGGAAAGGACCTTAAAGATCATCTAGTTCCAAATCCCCAGGACAAGGACACCTCCCACTAGATCAGGTTGCTTCAAGTCCCATCCAAACTGCCCTTCAACACTTCCAGGGATGAGGCAGCCACAACTTCCCTGAGCAACCTGTTCCAGTGTCTCACCACCCTCACAATAAAGGATTTTTTCTTAACGTTTAACCTAAATCTCCCTTCTTCCAGTTTTGATCCATTGCCCTTTGTCCTCTCACTACAAGCCCTTGTCCCAAGTCCCTCCCCAGCTTTCCCGGAGCCCCTTCAGGTACTGGAAGGCCACTATAAGCCCTCCCTGGAGCCTACCCTCTCCAGACTGAACAGCCACAGCTTAACAAACCCCCTAATGCTGTTAATTATGTCTTGATATGTTAAACAACAAAGACTACATTTAAAGCATCCATCCCACTTGGACAATGACACTACAGATTTCTGGAATAATTACATAAAAATATTTACTATTTGAGCCTAAGCAAAAACTCAGGAAGAAATTGTATCACAAAAACCTAGCATAAGTATTTTTTATTTTTTTTTTCTCTTTGTGTCAGCTTTTTTCTCCATAAAAAGGAGAAATCAGGAAAAGACTGGGGATGAATTTACTAATAGAAAGTACCTTGAAGTAACAAGCTTTGATCAGAACTCTGAAAGAGAGTAAGACACACACACACACAAAAACCCTCTTCCTTCTAATTATAGGTCACT